TTTTGTTTCCTACTGTAAACTTATAGGAACAGTTGTTTACACTTTTAATGATTCTGTAAGATATGAATTTTACTACATTGTTTTGCCTCTTATGGATGATCAGATCGCTTTTTGGCGAGATGTGTTCGCATCAGACAGCAGCAATGTGCACATGCATGTTCTAGACTGTTAGGATGATGTATGATGATATGAGAGTGTGTGTGGGTTTGGGGTGTGGAGTAAAAAGTATTGCATGTATGGTGGAAAAGAAAGGGATGTTAATGTAACAACATAATTGTAATATATAATACAGTAATAAAATAATATGAATATGATAATACTTTAATAATAATAATTACAATATAATATAATAATAACCATTATAAAAATCAGTATTGCATTCATTGAGCAATGACGGGGTGGTTGGACCATAAAACTGAAATGCTAGGCCCTAGGAAAATAAGGTCACACACTGATGCTAATTTAACCTTAGCTAGCCCTAGCAAAGTTTAACCAGGTGACCTGTTAGCAACAGTTTAGTTTTTTCTTACTCACCAGATGACCCATTGTGCAGCAGTTGAGGTCATCTCAGCATGAAGCAGTTCTTAGTCCCCTGTCCAGTCTTTGACTGAACTCTGCTGACACAGTTTCTCTTTCTCCTGAGATCTGCTGGTCCATTGTCACATGTAGGGTCCTGAGCTCTGTCTGCTGTGCCTCCTGTTGGTCCCACTCAGCAGATTAGGGTCTTCTCTGCTCCTGAGAGTCTACAGTAAGGTAAATGGTTAATGGACTGCGCCTTTCTATTTTTTTCCGACCACTCAACATGCTTTAGGCCACATTCACCCATTTACACACATTCATACACATTGATGACACAGCATCAGGAGCAATTTGGGGTTCAGTATCTTGCTCAATGGCCACTTGGACATGCAGTGAGAGGAGCCGGGGATCGAACCCACCCTTCTGATTAGTCAACGACCCGCTCTTCCTCCTGAGGCACAGCCTGTACAAGCTGGAAGAGATGGCCATGTTCAGCCTTTAAGCTAAGATATACACGGTCCAGTGTGTACCATTTAGGAGTTATGTATAATCACCTGAAAATAAGTTAATGAATAGTTATGTTTTTTTTTACCTTAGAATTAGCTGTTTTTATCTACAAAGGAGTGGGTCCTCTTCCATGGAGGCCACCATGTTGTCCACAATGTATCTACAGTAGCACAGAAAGGACCAGGAAGGAGAAAAAAAACACAGTTCTATTTTTAAAAATGTATTGTGTTTGGTGCAAAATAATGGAACGATCAAAAGAGAGCAGGTTTTGGGCCTTCATCTGTTGATTAGCTGTGAACAACATATGATATAAACTAATAAATAGAAATAGATAGAAACTGGAGTTTTTTTTTGTTAATGGAAATGTTGAGAATATACACTCTTATGAGATGACAGTACTAGCAGTGGTCCCAAGCCAGTTTGATTCAAGAGTTTGTGACCCCTGTTCTACACCCCTGAGGTACACAGGGGTTGTAACAGCAGGGTAAGGCGAGGGTGTTGTAATGTGCGACTATACCTCTAGATGCCACTAATTCTTACACACTGGTCCTGTAATATGTTTGCAGTAGTTTTTAATACTGGTGAGAGTGACATAACTGGGTTTAACAACATAACCAATTACGTGCACAAGTAGCCTGGACATTGGTGGACTCTGTATCAGTAGATACTCAATATTAAATGACTCGGATTAGGGGCAAAAAAACTTGATCAGGACATCCTTAGTGTCTAA